TTCATGGTAATAAACCAGAACTAGTTAGTCTAATTTACAATTAGGTGTCAGACCATCTTACAAAAATAGTACCTTTTTAACACATTGAGCTAAAGATGCGACAAAGGTAAAAAAAACAGACATGTGAACACCAGTGAGAGAACCAAACCGTTTTCAAAGCAAGGAACAATACGCAATGATTTTTATTACATAGTCAATTTCTGGTTTCAAAGTTGGGTACTCCAGCTTTATCTGTTTTTAGTCCACAAAACCGAGTTGTGATTTATACCATATTCAGAACATCTTTTAAGCTTTTTGATTATAATTTCCCATGTTTCGTTACAGATACAGCATACATGTCAACCAGATTCAGATTTATAATCAGACTGCTTTATTTTTCCCACCAGGGGAAAATCATTTGGGCAGCATGTGGCATAAAAACATAAAACATAAAAAAGGGAAAGTCGAACAGTAGCATAAGCAATATAAATTGACTTAGGTGATAACTCTTGGAAATGAGTTGTCATGACCTGGCTTTGATACATTAATTGATGAAAAACAACAGTCTTGTCATCAAATAAGATCAAATTGTGTCTTTTTAAATCTTCAATTTGATGTTTTAAAAGCTTTTTGTCACCTGTAATACCACAGGGGGTGCTTTCATTTCCAAATCCACCCAGTGCCTTTATCACCCGACATAAGGAATGGATCGATACCAAATAGACCTGAGCGTTCTGTCTTCTGTGGAAAACATGAAAACGCATGAGCAGTATTTCACCTATGGCTTGTGACATTTGTTGGGCGACTGACATTTATGTAGAACTGGCCTAATGTAGTGTGACAAACACTTTTGCTTGGCTGGTGAAAAGTTTCAAAATGGGCAAAGTGTAGCGGCCTGGAACTTTCAAAAGGATTGCAAAGATGGAAACGGCGTTATGACCGCGGGTTTAATGCTGCGTTATAAAAAACACAAAATGCTTCTTTTTATAGCGGTGTTGTTTTATTATTGCTTGTAAACTCATCAATAAAACATACTCTTTTCTAAAAAATTTTAAAAAGTGCTTGGAACTTTCACTTCTGACTCTGCTTTTGAATTCAAATGAGTGGTTTTCTTTTAACATTCTGGTCCAAACTTAGAAAAGCTGTTTTTATTGGACCCAGAACAATAGTTATTCTTAGATTTTCTAAAAAGGTAGGTCCCAATGTAGGGTTTTCCTTTTACAATAGTGTTTTTCATTGCCACACACTATACAATTCAAATAAATAAAAACAAATACATTGTATAGTCTATTACTTATTGTTTTTTTGTTTGTTTTTTTAAATGACACTTTTTGTTATCTCAGTTTGTGGCACAGTGGTTAGCGCTTGTGCTTCATAGCAAGAAGGTCCTGGGTTCGATTCCACCTCCAGACCTTTCTGTGTTGTTTGCATGTTCTCCCTGTGTCTATGTAGGTTTCCTCCAGGGGCTCTGGTTTCTAAAAACATGTAAGAGTCCCCCATAATACCCTCCCCAACCCCACTCCCGGCGGACTCCCCTGAAAAAGAGATTCTGTGGTTAAATATAGGTCAATAATAAAACAAATAACTATAGGTCTATGTAAATCATCACTGTATGAAATATACGGTAATTCAAGCTTTTTAATTTTTTATTCTGCACTAAAAAGGAATTCTTGAAATAAACCTGAAACCTTATTAAAAGATCAATGGAAAAATAAATAAATTATAAGTTCTCATCTTCTGCTCCATCTGTTCGTTTAAACTCGTCTGAGCAGACAGATGCCAGTGCCTCCCCACATCTCTTCTTTTTGTCCTAACATTACACTTTTATGAAGCCTGTGATACGTGATTAAAACCTCCTTGTAATATTAAGTGGAATAATTAGCTGCTTAAATGCTATGGAAACGATTAAACAAACACTGTACCCAAAGCGTAGTGGGACATCATTCCCTTTGATACAAGTTGTTTGTAAGTCGTTTTATGCTCTTCTACTGATGCTTGTAATTCCCCGTGGATTTGGATGGAGTTTGTTTAAGAGGTTTTTTCTTTTCAAAACACATCTAAATGAGTAACACAGCCGCAGCTCAAGGGCATCACAATGAAATGAAAGATTATGAAGTTATGACTAAAGTTACAAGAGGAGACCTATTGTACACGTTTTTAGTGGTAGGGGAAACCGGAGCATTTGGAGGAAGCCTATACAGACACAGGGAGATGGAATCAAACCCAAGACCTGGTAAAGTCAGCCCCAAAGAGGGCCGATTTCAAAACTGGACGAGTGGAGATGAAAAGGCTGAAATAATACTGTTATTGTGCTTTCCCTGTGGCAGACACATCCAGGAGCACCACTGTCCACTCAATCCATAAATCCAACTTCTCCTGCTCCTCCACTCCTCCCTCAGGACAATTCTAATGAAACTCAAACTAAGGCCTCCTCCTCTTGGCTTCCGTGGAGCGTTCCTAACTATGCATTTATCTATTATAAAAATAAGAAAATAAATAGTTGATCCAAATCTTACTTTGGGCCTATTTCCCCACTCTTTTCACAATTCAAAAATATATTTTAAAAAATTGGTGGGTGTGCTCCTGCTCCTGTTTGGAATGAAAACGTGCTTCCACGCAGACGCTTTCAAGAACCGGTTTGACACCCCTGGTCTAAATGCTCTTTACCACCACAAAATGAAAAGTGTATATTCTCTGTTTTACTATACATTCATATATGAGTATTGTGTTTTCACTGCACTAATGCCCGCACCGCACACCACTGCATTTAGTTTTCCTATTTCATACTCTTCTGCAGCGGCGGTCAAATCCGATATGGATCTGGGCTCTGAGCGTGGCAATTCTCTCAACAAATTGTCCCGTTTGTTTGGCTTGTTCGTTCTGATGGACCATCCTTGACTTCAGCCGCCTGATGCTATCACTGCCCTTCTGTAAAGTCACCATCCATTGGGCAGTAAATGGCTTTTTCACAAGCAGTGATTCCTCCAAGGCCCCTGGTCTCGGTGGGTTAACAAGAGGCACAGGGCTTTTAAACCACCAGGGCTGAAGCAGAAACTATCAACAAGATACATGTCTAAGCCTCATGTCTGAAAGCAAGTGGTGGAGGCTGGGAACATGGCACTGTGGAAATGCTTTCAAGATTATTAGTTTATCAAATCAGAGAAAATTGGGTCTTTTTAAAAGCTTTAATTTGATGTTTTATAATCTATTCATCAAAGGTCTCTTGTATTGCCTCAAAGGGCTCAAAATATGTTTCTTATAAATTTCTTGAACCGTTTGATTATCTGATCTGTGTTGGCGAATCTGTGTTTTTGTAAAGTCCTGTTACGATAAAGGGCTATACAAAAATGATTTGAAATACATCCAGTGCTTATATTGTCCGCCAAAGCTTTCAAGAATTTTAGATTAACAATTTCTGACCAAAAGAAGTTTACAGAAACGTACTAAAACTGGATCAAATATAATTTAATTGAAGACTGATAAGCAAATGATTCTTTTTGTTTAACATACGTTTTACTATTTCACTTCTTTCTAGGTGTTTGGTTCAGATTTTAGAATAAATTAAACAATATATGTTTATCTTTGGGGTTAGGGGGAAGCTTTAGCTTTAATAAGAGGTTAGCAAGTAGGGGTGGGAATCTTGGGGCACCTCACAATTATATGACAATCTCCATTCAAATTGCACTTTTTCCACATTTCCAGAGTTAAATTAATTTTAGCGCTTCATTCATTTTATGAACATATCCATTGAAATTAAAATGCATGAACTGCTTTTAGTGTGTCATATGTTGGTGAAAAATAATGAAGGTGCTCTCAGGCTTCAATTAGCTACTATTTTAGTACCAACAACTCAAAACGATAATTCCGTGATGCCTTTCATAATTCTCTTTGCCTTTTGCGACGTGGATGGTAGCCTACCCAAATTGTCCTCGTATGTTCTCTAGCTGTTGTGGTCACAAGCACAACCTACTGTAAGGGCACGGTCAGAAGGGCCTAACTTCCCCAAATCTGACTTTGACATGCCTTTTAGATGGAACAAAATCCATTGTTATTTCAGTATACAGTATGTATCTTTAGTTATTTTTAATGCACAGTGCATTTGATCAATAAGTTTGCTCCATATGTGAATGCTCTTTTATATTTTTATGGTCAGTTCAACATAACTATATAATCCCTAAGCTGTTTTGAACTTGGAGAAGGAATTGTAACATGCTGTACAATATAAATTCTAGAAATGTAATCATGAATATTAAAACTTGATCTAGTTAATTTATTTGTGTACTGGATTCAAACAAGAAGACTATATGAAAAAGGATAAAAACCCATTGTTGCTGTGACTTTTCTACTCACTAACTGTGGAACAGGACTTACATTTGTATACAGTACACATCTTTTATATTTTCTTCTATCTTTCCATTAAGGGGATGATTTTGAGAACTTTTATTGAAGATTGAATCTAAATCTTTAATTACAATACATTATTGCATGGTTTATTCATCAATGTTTCAAGTTAAACAATATGTAAATGTGGAGCCATTTCAATCTCTGTCTTGACTCTGTCTCTTGTCCTTTCTATCTTTGTGGAAACTTTCTCTTATGTAAAACCATGAAAATTAAGTTTTATGATTTCTATGTTATCAGCCCATTGATGGATATAATTGGTTTTCTTTGGGTTTTCTTAAAAAGTGTCCCACTCGTGCTCCGAGCCTCAGTGCGTGATTAAAGCTCGTTTGCAGACGGCCTCATATGTCTCGTCGCCCCGGGTCGTCAAACCTCTGGGGCCAAATGGAGTGAGATGATTGGTCTGTGCATTAGTCCCGCAGCGCTGGGCTCTGATGTCTGCAGACTCCTCGCACAGAGCTGTGACTGGGGTTGTGTCAGGAGAAGCTCCCCTCACTCTCACAGCTGTCACAGGCCTGTGCTTCTCTCTAGTTATGGAAATAACACTTATGGCAGACTTCATGCTGAGTCACATACTTTTCGATGGCACTCATTCATCTTTTATCAAACTGTGAGATGTCTTACCCCTCGCGGTGGGCCTCCCCCTTCTCCAGCTCTTGTATCACCCCCAGCAGAACCTTTATGGTCTCCTGGCTCGAGCTAATGAGGTTCTCCATGGCCTGGAGCTGTGCTTTTACTTCCCCGTCCTGGTTCAGAGGCACTATTTGCTTACAGGCGTTTTGTGTGGAGTCGGGAGGAGGGGAGGACAGAGGGGGAGCAGAGAGGCGTCCCGAGTGGCACTGTGCCTGCGTGGTACAGCCTCCTGCTCGAGGCAGAGTCTCCGGCTGCAGCCCGTTGAGCTGTAAGGCTTTCTTCCTCTTGCTCCTCACTGACGGACTGTCCAAACATTCCACCTCCGTCAAAGAGTTCCAGGTGATGGGGCCGCTCACCCTGGAGGCCCTGTCCGGCAGGGTGTGGGACGAGCCCTCCTCCAGGTGCAGCCTCTGCTCGGCCTGTTGTAATCCAGTCCTGGGTTTGGGGACGTTGCAGAGCTGATAGTCCTGAGCGTCTGGGAGACGGTCTGCATCCACAGAGCAGCTGAGCAGCAGCTCTGAACACAGTCCATCTGGAGCCATGTGCTGCTCCACTGTAGTCACACACTCGTTATGGAGCAGAGCCCTGGTCCTGCGCACCCCCCCACATGCCCCCCCCTCCTCCTCATCTTCATCAAGATCGGTCTGAGAGTGCTTTCCGTCCACCATCACGCCATTATTCCCTCCTCTGTACGTTTCCACGGCAGCCACATGTTTAAAAGTGTGGCCCTTCTTCCTCTCAAAGGGAAAAGTCTGATAATGTTTCTTCAGGTCTGGAGACGTCTGGACCCCAGTGCTGCGGGTCACGTTGGGGATGGACCTCCGCGCTGGCACCGTCATGTACTTGCGGTACGCTGCTTTATAGGAGATGGGTTTTCCTGCTTTCCTTGCTGCCTGCAGCTCTGCCTCCCTCTGCTCGTTCTGCGCTTCACAAATATCCTTGAAACGAACTTGCAGCGCTTTGTTCCTCTTCCGTACCTGTCGACTGGCTTCCAAGGAATACTTCTCTAGAGCCATGGACACGGAGGGCGCCGGAGCTGCCTCCGAGTCCGACTCAGAGTTGGTGAGCATGCATTTGGCTCCCTCCTTGCTCACCATGTTTCCTGTGGAGCAAAGAGAATAATATGTTAACAGATGAAAACAGTTTATTTATCATCTAAGCACCAATTTATGGTAGATTCGCTGTCATGCAAATGTAAAGGATCCACAAGCTTTCAAACATCCTGGTGGTATGATAATCAACAGGGATTGGGACATTCCCCCCAATATCAAATGACAAACCCATTCACAAACTCAAAGATGACAAGCTATTCCATTGAAGTAGTGTTACCATTTTTCTGATTTAGTTCAAAACTGTTCCTCCTGGCTGCTCCGAATCTCCCTGTCCTGAGCCCTGACTGAACTCACTACAAAACACCACAGATAGAAGCATCTCGACTCCTCAATTTAACTGCGAGGGCCTGACAGAGAGATCACTCCTGCTGCATGCTTATTCCAAAATGAGCTCCGTGCACTCGTATAGATGCTGCATCAGATAGGACAATTATCCACCCGCGCTTATCTCCTGTGATTGCCTTGTGTCAATAGGGACTTGGGCTGTCTGTGTACTTACCTGCGAGCTACAAAGTGGACCTTTTGTCTCGACAATCGACACCGGCACATTATCAGTACCTCTGGCTTCGGTTTATTAAATTAAAGCACTTTTTATGAGCTCTGAGTCAGAAAATAATATGGAGGCCTATACCTCCTATACCTAGTCACAGCTTATCCATAATATATTAGCTTCCTCTACACACAATGGATGGTTGTATGGAAAATGGAAAGAAATGCAAAAAAAAAGCAGTAGGACAAATCTGTGGACGTCTATTGATCATCAAGCCTGGATATGCTAACATGCTAAAATATTCAAACAATTACAACAAGTCATCCCTATGATGATTCTCCAGGAGCACCACTGTTATTTTTATGTATTCATTTAGTTGACGGGGACGTTGCACAATACATTTATTGTTCAGACCGGACATAGCTATGAGATAATTTTCATCTGAGGCAAATATATTAGTTAATAAAAAGGCCTAATTTGCATTTAAAATGCAAGTGTAGTTGTAGTAGTAGTTAGATTTTAGGTCACATACAGTACAGACCAAAAGTTTGGACACACTCTCTCATTCAGTGGGTTTCCTTTCTTTTCATGCTTATTGACTGTAGATTCACACCCAGGCTGTGTAAGGGCTATTTGACAATAAGAGTGATGGGTGCTGGGTCAGATGACCTGGCCTCCACAGTCACCGGACCTGAACCCAATCCAGATGGTTTTTGGGTGAGCTGGACCAGAGTGAAGGCAAAAGGGCCGACAAGTGCTGAGCATCTCTGAGAACTCCTTCAAGACTGTTGAAGACCATTTCAGGTCACTACCTTGAGGCTTGTCAAGAGAATGCCAAGAGTGTGCGAAGAAGTAATCAGAGCAAATGGTGCTACTTAAGAACCTAGAATATAAGACATATTTTCAGTTGTTTCATTCTTCTTTTTTTTTAGTATGTAATTCCACATGAGTTAATTCATAGTTTTGATGTCTTCAATTTGAATCTACACTTTTCATAGTCGTGAAAATACAATAAAAACTTGAATGAGAAGGTTTATCCAACCTTTTGGTCTGTACTGTATACATTTTACAATAAGAAAAAAAAAGTGTACACAAAGAATTTCAGTGCTATAGAATTCCAATAATTATTGCCCTAGTATTATCCACTATACAGCAATTCCTACCTTTCTGCATCTTTTACTCTCATCCTTGTGCTATGAACTCTACTCCCGTATTGTTTCTCACTCTCTTTATTTATTTTGACATGTTTTCACTCTAGGCCAAACAATGCGTCCCCAGCTCCCCAGATCTCAGTCCTTTTCCGTGAGGTTTCAGACCATGTCACAGTAGAAGCACCAGACCTCTTTCTTGGGGCTCCAACACCACCCCTGGCCTCGTACAAAATATAAACTAGATTGAATGAATGCGAAATCAGGGTGAGTCAATGTTAAAAGGGAAGTGGCGAATGCTTGGTCAAGGGTTATGTAACGGCAGGCATGGAGAGTGAGTCACGAGGACCCGATGTGCATGTGCGAGCAGGTCAACCAAGCTGAACACGCTGCTCTTCTAATTAGATCAAATTTTAAAGTCCAAATGTTAATGTTGGGTTGTGTGCAGGCTGCCATATAGTCCTGGAATGACAGGGAAGAGATGCCGGACTATTTGATATTTATTTATTCTCTTTAATCACTAATTCAAATGCATAAATGTCCATATAAAACATAAAAAACAAAAGTTTAGAGACATTCATTTTCATATTTGATATCTGCTCATATACTTTTGACCATGTGACCCTGCAGGAGCTTTTGAATTAAGTATTTTTTGGGAATAATATATCTAAAACCCCTCCCCTAGAAATAATAATAATAATAATAATAAAATGAGAAAGGGGCCTTAGCCGTCTATCAAGTATTTGAAGTATTTTTGTCTAATCAGGAACCAGTAGGGGCGGGTGTAGCTGGTGCTTGCATTTGAACAATGTCTCTCAATCTTAGACCAAGAAAAGTATCTGAATTTCCCTGTTGAATGATTATAATTTTAGATATTAGATTAAATGCATTGACTGTGCTTTTCGTAAGTAACAAATATAAAAAAATGCTTTGATGGTGTGAGGTGATTTTGCCACATAGAGCTATAGCAATCTTTGCATTAAATTACATAACGTCTGCTATAATTGATTATGATAAGATGTATAAGATGAGATGGACTTTGATAATGATTACAGGGCTTGTTTTGGTGGTGGTCTCAACAAAATCTCAGCTTCAGGAGAAAATTACAAAAAAAATGCTTGAGCTTAAAACAACGTTAAGTCCAAAAATGTGAAAATTATGTCTCATTTCTACGTCCTGCTTAAAACCTGTCTCTCTTCGTCCCCAAAAAGCTTCAAATAATTGTTGTTTTCATTTACAAGTCAACAGCGCTTTGTCACCACTCTGACTGCCGCTTGTCCCCAAGGTTAGCTTGTTTTTTTGTCTTTTTACCTTTTTATTTAACAAACATGAACCTTATTTCCATGGCAGCCAATCATGGGCCTCTTGGCTGCATCTCTGATCAGTCTTCTCCTTGTTTGAGATGAAACTTTGGAGGGACAGCCGGGTCTTGGTAGATTTGCAGTGGTCTGATACTCCTTCCATTTCAATATAATTGCTTGCACAGTGCTCCTTGAGATGTTTAAAGCTTGGGAAATCTTTTTGTATCCAAATCTTTAAACTTCTTCACAACAGTATCTCGGACCTGCCTGGTGTGTTCCTTTCTCTTCATGGTTCTCTCTGCGCTTTAAACAGAACCCTGAGACTATCAAGGAGCAGGTGCATTTATACGGAGACTTGATTACACACAGGTGCATTCTATTTATCAACATCAGTCATTTAGGACAACATTGGATCATTCAAAGATCCTCACTGAACTTCTGGAGTGAGTTTGCTGCACTGAAAGTAAAGGGACCGAATAATATTGCACGCCCCACTTTTCAGTTTTTTTTTTTTTTAAAGTTTAAATTATCCAATAAATTTCGTTCCACTTTACGATTGTGTCCCACTTGTTGTTGATTCATGACAAAACATTTAAATTTTATATCTTTATGTTTGAAGACTGAAATGTGGCAAAATGTTGAAAGGTTCAAGGGGGCCGAATACTTTCGCAAGGCACTGTATTCACTGCAAGATTCTACATTTTTGTCTGTGTTTAGTTCCTTATACAAAAGTAAATGTCCTTGAGTCTGATACATTTTAGTTATATAGTTTTGCATTCTCACTGATAAACGGCCTGCGATGCTTCATGTAATGTGTTCTTGCAAGTTGAGTTTGTTCAAAGTCTGGTTTCCACTAATGTCACAACAAGGGCAGAGCATAGTCCTCAGTCCTTTTGCTACACCCTGAGTCCTGGATCTACGGCCTCAGTCCTTATTCTACAGCCTGAGTCCTGGATCTACGGCCTCAGTCCTTATTCTACAGCCTGAGTCCTGGATCTACGGCCTCAGTCCTTATTCTACAGCCTGAGTCCTGGATCTGCGGCCTGGCTGTCTGTGGGAGTGGATCCCTCTCTCAATTTGGGCCTCCTCGAGTTTTCTCACCTTTTCCCCCACTTGGTTTTGTTGTTGTTGTTGTGCCTTGTGGATGCAGAACTTTTATGGACAGTGGTCATCCCGCTCCCTATGGACCAATGGCTCTGGGTTTTAAAAGTGGCACTTGAATCTATTGCATCACTCATTTCATTTCATTTCAACACAAATATTTACTCTTGCTAGAACAATTTTATTCTGCAAACGTTACACTGATGGGGGAACATTATTGGACCAAGTCAAAGCATCTGTGTGTCGACGAGAAGTGAGCTTTCCGTCAGTTACATAAATGAAAGAAAATTGAAACGACAAAACTCAATTAGTGACTTTGCTCTCACAGACCAATCCCCTCTTTTCCCATTCCGTTCCTCTTTGAATTCCGCTTACTCACTCCATACAATACCCCAAAGACTCCCGACTCAGCACTTTTTTTGAATGTCACTTTCCTAATCAAAATTCAAGTCGCCAGAAGGCACCATTTTGAAATTTAGTATCCCGGGATAACACTCTTGGCTGTTTACCATGATGTAGAGCCTGACTAATTTTATTTTATCTTCTCCACTCCACCAGAGGGAACAGTCATTAATAGAGTATATGCATCGCAGACCATGTCAATTGATTTTAAGGCATGAAATATGGTCATACATGTCAATTAGAACCGGCTCCCTGAATCCGTCCTCATATTAAACGGGTACCACATCATACGACAAGGTTTTAATGTCATGTTTTCCATCATTTTTGCATGTACATGGGACAGCACACTCAAAATCCTCTGTTGTTTTCAAATCAATTATTGCTGTTTTATACAAAAGCAACATCAGATCTATTTTGACATTCAATACCACGGCCTGAATCTCCCTCATCGCAATTCTCTCAATAATATATTTAAAATCACCATTAAAATCATCGAACAACAGGAAGATTCACCCACTCATTGACGATAGGTTATTGCCCACG